CTGCTCATATATGATTACTAAAAATAAGTGGAAATCTATGTCTAAAATTCTTTTAGAAATTGAATACTTTTTAAACTTAAATTATGGTGTTATATAATGTCACTTCCTCCTGTTCTACAACATGACCCCTCCTGTCTGAATAAGGTCATTCTTATTAGTTGGTATGTTATGATCTAACAGCAAACGTAACCCTGGCCTGAGTGGGGAAAAAAAGAGTTCTGACTCCCCCACTGGCCATGTGAACTTAAACAAGCCACTTTACTTACCTCTGGCCCAGTTCTCCTGCTGTGAAATGAGGGTGCTGGAGCGGGAATTAATAATTGAGTACCAGCTGTGCAATTATATTTCATTAAATCAAGAAATGTTGATTAAGTAACTCAGTAGCTGAGGACACACAGATCAGGCATCTTAAGTGATTTGGCTTAGTACTTCAGTATTAAGTAGTAGAACTGGGATTTGAATCTAACTCCAAAACATTGTGCCACACTGTCTCTCATCAGATTGTATAATTGCTGATTGCTGCTCTAGATACAAATTTTGGGCTTCTACTTTCTGTATGAACATGTGCTTTCCCCTCCTCATTGCCTTAGCTTGTGCTATTTTTCTCCTTCTGATGGGCTCTACCATGAACTGTTTGTCGATCCACATCTTTTATTTCAAGTCAGCTTAGTTTTTACCTTTTTCACAGAATTATTTCTTTAAATTCCTCTGACATACGTAGGTATACCAGGGGTTGCAAACTCAAGGGCCTATAAAAGACAAATCCTCACAAGAATGAAGCAGGTAAATGTAAATAAGTGACATAAACCAGAACTAAGATAACAGAAGAAAATGAGGGTTATAACAAACTGGCGTCCTTATAGTTACATCTGCACCCTTCCCAGGTGTACCTCATTGTTGCCAGATCTCTCCATTTTTTAGGAAAAGAGTCATTTAAATATTTCTTGATTTTAAAAACATTGAAACAGATGGACTGCCAACTTCTAGCCTCTGATTTATATTATGTAATACATTATTTGATCACTCAGTGATGATGTTGTATTCGCTAACAGCTTAATCTGGGAAAAATATGAGATTAAGTTCCTCCTGAGCTTTTTTGCTTGAGCAATTTTGAGATTTCTAACTTTAGCAATTAGTAATATTGCTAACCAAGGTAGGAAGTTAGAATGGCAGATGTTTAGGGACAAATAATGGTTAGTTTGGCATGTTAAACTGAAAATAAAAGTCAGGAGCTCAGTTCTATAGAGAGATTTGGAAAGTCACCAGCAATTAGGTGATAGTTGAAGCTACAGAAGTAAGACAATCCAGAAAAAGTACATGTAGAGTAAGAAGAGTATTGACAGAACCATGGGGAATACCAGCTTCCAGGGAACATGAGGAAAAGAAAGAATGGAGGGAGGCGGGATGCTAGGAAGGTTCAAGCCAGTCAAGACCAAGAACGAAGGGAATGGTAAAAGTACTCTAGAGAGATTAAGCAGGAGGAGGAGACCAAGAGAGATGTTTAAAGATTTAATAATGAGGAGGTCACTTATGCCTTTGCCAGAATAAGTTTCAGCAGCGAGATAAATACGGCTTTCAGATTATATAGTGGGTTGAAGAGTGACTGGATAAAATTTAACTGCCAAACGGATTAGTTCCTACAATATACTAAGAAATTAGAAGTCAACAAGAAAACGACAACCCAGAGAAAACAATGGACAAAAGACATTTCATAGAAATATAAATACTTAACCTCATTACTAATCAAGGAAATAAAAATTAAAACGCGAGATATTTTATACTCACAAGATTGGCAAAAATTAAAAACACTGATAATGTCAAGTGTTAGCACAAGTGTGGATCAGTAGAAACTTATATACAATCAGTGGAAGTGTGAATTGATACAGATTTGAAAAGCAGTGTGGTACTGTCTTGTAAATTGAACATTAGTATACCATATGTGTGTATACATATCCTAGAGAAATTCTTGTACCTTTGTACCAAGAGACATGTACAAGAATGTCTACAGCAACATGGAGGGAGAGGGAAAGTAACTCAGAAGTCTGTCAAATAAAATGAATAAGTAAGTTGTGATATGGTTACATATTAGTTTATTCTCAATTTAAGGAACTATAGCTACAGCTATAGTAAACAACATGAATAAGTCTTAGAAACCAAATAGTGAAACAAAGCACTCGCAGAAGACCATATTTTTAAAAATTTAACTAACATTTATAAATCACTTATCCTGTACCTGTTCCAACTTTACTGATATCATTTAATTTAATCACATATACATAAAATGTTTTTTTAGGGGCCAGCCCGGTGGCGCAAGAGGTTAAGTGCGCGCGCTCCGCTGCGGCGACCCAGTGTTCGCCGGTTCAGATCCCGGGCGCGCACCGATGCACTGCTTGGCAGGCCATGCTGTGGCGGCATCCCATATAAAGTGGAGGAAGATGGGCACAGATGTTAGCCAAGGGCCAGTCTTCCTCAGCAAAAAAAGAGGAGGATTGGCAGATGTTAGCACAGGGCTGATCTCCTCACAAAAAATATATATATACATTTTTTTTTTTTAAAGCTCAAAAATAAGCAAAAGTAAATAATACATTATTCAAGAATACAGACATATGTCTTCAAAAACACAAGAGAATAATCTTAAAATTCAGAATAGCGGTTACCTATGGACAGGAGGCAAGGAGATGACAGGGAAGGAGCATATAGATGATGCAACAGTAGTGGTGATGTTGTAGTTCTTAAATTGACTGGTCATTCACAAATTTTTATTATGTTGTTTGTTAATAACTGATATTACATATGTTAGAATATGATTTCTTAAAAGATAAAATCATGATTCTCACACCAATACAAAATAAACACATCTTAAAGGTTTTATTTAAATCATTAAATTTACAAGGGAATCAGCAAGATCTTACAGTCATTTCAAGGGAGAATTCAAAGTGCCACACATATATATAGGCAATCAGGATTGCTGAAATGAATTTACAAATAGTTGCAAAATTGGTCAACATCCACAGGGCAGTAATCAGAATCATCCCACTGGACATAATTCATTGGCATTTTCATGGACAAGAATGGGTATTATTACTAGTTTTTCACCAACTTGCAGAGTTGTAAAATAGCTCAAAAGGGCCAAAAGGATGCACTGGAGACAGGACACCTGGTAATGTTTTTTGCCTATTTCAGAGTCTATCACAATTTTTTCCTGACACATGTAAACTTTTATGTGTATCAAATATTGCATTAAAAGTAGAATGAAGGCTAAAATAAGTAAGTGTACTAGTCTGTGTTTCTCTTTCAAGGTGTTTGTTGAAGGAAGAGAGGCAAAGGTCTTATGTTGGGGAGGAGATCAGATTTGAAGGAAGGGTTGTGATTTTGTTTTCTTAAACAGAGGGGCTTTGAGTGTGTGCACTGGCTCTGGGAAAGGAGCCAGTAGAAGGTAAGTGATAGTGGAGGCAACAGTGGATGTTTTAAAGGAGGCAATAGCAATTACATTCAAATCACAATTTAGATTTGGAAAGAAAGGGATTCTTCTTCCTCTGAGATTGGAGAAAAAGGAGAGGAGCTAAGCTGTAGGTTCACTTGAAGTCATAAAAAAAGTTGAGAGTCTCTGAAGAAAAAGAAGTATTTATGATAGGCAGCTTAAAGCATACTTGTAAAGATTTACTGAATGGAAAAGGAATGATACTAGGTTGAGTAAAAAGATTGCCATGCCAACCTTTTATGATGTATTAAACACCCTGTTGTCAAAACACTGCACAGGATTTTTCATTTTCTTAGAGTACAAGATAGAGCAACTGCCTTAAATGAGTTTATAGTCTTGAACAGATAAGATATAAATAGGAGAAAGTTTAAATAACTGAAGAGATTATAAAGTCAGAATTATCAAGTGAATGGTATAGATAATGTATAAGTTTATAACAGTGTAACAAAAAAATACTTGGGGTACAAGTGAAACCTCTAAGATCCAACTCTATCACTAACAGTTCACATGGCATTAGACACATCCTTTAATATCTGTGGACCTCAGATTCTTCACCTATGAAAAGAGGGGGTTAAAGAGAGTTTCTAAACTCCTTTCTTTGAATATATGAGAAAACTAAAGAACAACTGACACTGAACTGGGTATAAGATATAACGTAGATGGGCAGAGATGAGTCTAGGAAACATTCAAAATGGAAGAAATGGCGTGAGGAAAAAACACAGGGCTTATTTGGAAGACGGTGGGTACATCATTTTGGTTGCATTTGCCCTGAGAGTTCATGAAAATGGAATAATGAGGTAAAAGTAGGAAAGTGTATTTTTCTCTCCAGCAATAGTTGTGCATGGTAAACTTTACATACGCGTAGTAAACTCAGGATGTATTTTTAAGTAAGTGATCTTGCATATCCAGAACTAGTACAACAATATTATTTTTTTAAAACAAGACATTTCTACCAGAATGAGACAATTTTCAAAGTAGTAGTTAAGACTCAAATGATGGTTATCAACTCAAGGCAAGCGGGTTTAGAACTAATATTAAATAACTACCTTAGCCAGGTACTGGCTAGGCTGGCTAACTTAACTTCTTCAGGCTATACCACAACTTGGAAAATAGGTACTAGTTATGTAGACATAAAAACTGAGGTTCAGAAATTAAAATAACCGTCTCCGTTATACCCAGCTAGTCAGAGGCTCAGCCAGTTCAAGAGCTCAGCTTCTTTCCATTAGGTCCCATAGGTACTGGAGTTTCTAACTCCAGCCTCAAACCATACCCTGAAGTGTTGTCGTAAGAAGACATTTATAAAAAGCATATATTATTTACGTGTCTGACTGCAACTCTACAGAAATCTAGGTCTCAGTGGTCACGTTTTAACAAGGCTGTAGTGTATTAGTAACAGTGTATTCTAAATATGGCTTATATTGAAATAGAGCTATAAACTAGCTTTTTTTTCCTCCTTCACTTCGTCATACTCTTCCAAGCTACAAGTAGGAAAACACTTATTTATCTAATTTCATTTCAGGTATCTATTTGTCAGATTTAACATACATTGATTCAGCATACCCATCAACTGGCAGCATTCTAGAAAATGAGCAAAGATCAAATTTGATGAATAACATCCTTCGAATAATTTCTGATTTACAGCAGTCATGTGAATATGGTAAGTTTCTGGGTGATAATGCTAAGCCATTATCCTGCTGTGATTCTGTTGATTCATTTACACACGTTGATGGCCACTTTTCACACAGTAGGGAACATCAGTTTCTTACATCCATCCTAACATAAAGGAAAATAATTGTTTTATTTCACTGTTTAGTTTTTAGCATCTTGTTTAAGATCTTGCTTTTAAGAAATTGGAGTATTTAATATTTAAAATTTTAAGTTTTTTCTCAACAGAAACTTTACAGGCTAGGAGAGACTAGAATGATATATTCAAAATACTGAAAGACAAAAACTTTCAGCTGAGAATACTCTATCCAGCGAAAATATCCTTTAAATATAGTGGAGAAATAATAACTTTCCCAGATAAACAAAAGCTAAGGGAGTTCATGGCCATGAGACCCCCACTACAAGAAATGCTCAAGAAGGCCCTCAGGCCTGAAAAAAAGAAGAGAAAGGGAATACAAAGGTTGGAGCAAGGATAAAAATAGGTAGACAAAATCAGAAAAATAGTAGATCTTTACCGGAAT